ATGTTAGCTGATCTTTTAAACTTATCAAGAGTCGGAGAAGTGAAACACAGAAATTGACTCGGCAAACCCCTGGGCACACTCCACCTCCCTCAGCCTGTCCAAATGAAGCACTTGGGTGATCACTGGACCAATGGGGAGTTTTGAAGTGGACTCGGAGGGTATTCACAACTAATTTATGATCAGTAACACAAAATTTAGCACTCCTATATACCCAGCAGTTCTGGAGGATCCTCCGAGTGCTAACGAGGATGTGGTTGATCTCGCGATGTTGCTGTACCGCGTCCAACGATGTGGGTCTGAGCGCTGGTACCAGGAGCCAGAAATCTTCAATTTCAAGGACCTTGCAAAGTCCGGGAAAAGGAGGGTATTCTCACTGCTGGCACCAACTCCCGAACCATGGGGACCGAGTGACATCTCATAGCCAGCTCGATCACAGCCAGATACCGGGTAAGATGATATAGCATCTGTCCAAACTGACTGTGTTATCAATATAGAGGGCTATGAATTCAAACATTAGTTCTTCATACCTGAAGGGGTGTCCCGCTGTGCTTACGTTATCCACATAGCATCTAGTCGGTATAAAAGAAAAAAAAAATCAATGACTGATCACAATGTCTAAATAAAATTAAAATCAATAAGTACCGGTGTCTAGACAGTTATTTGATCAATAGGATAGTTTTCTTACAACAAAGTAAGTAATGTGAAAAATTATGCAACTTGGGCGCTTTGCACATTTCCAGTGGAGATACGAAACTGGCTTTGCTTCCAAAACTATCTTGTACATAATGTATAGCGTACTGACATCCAATGCGTACCCTGGTTAGTGTAACCTGCTGCCTCCATGATAGGTTTTATAGGGTTTGTCCATACCAGATGTACCTGTAATACTTTCATAATGCCAGAGAGAGAGCGAGACAGAGACAGATAGACAGACAGAGAGAGATAGATAGAGACAGAGAGAGACAGACAGATAGACCGACCGACAGAGAGAGAGAATCTGAGAAAAAAAAATAAAATTAAACAGGTAATCAAACAGGCGTATAGAAGGAAGTCGCAAGAAGACAGGTCAGATACACAGGTAGAGGACAGAGGTCAAACAAATGTCAGGTGTTGTCCTTTTACCTGACAAGTGTGACTAATAGAACAGTAGGCAAGCTTTAAGACTCAAAGTAGACACACAGCATATTATACAGTACGAAATATGTATATATCTCGCGATTTCTGAAGGTTGTATAATTTTGTTTGAACAGTATATATATTCTAATGTATGACCAAGTAGCTTTAGTATTAGTAGTTTTTAATGTAGTATATAGTATAGGTAATATATTGTTACATCATTACATTACTATTAGTATTGCTTTTATCATTATAATAATCATTATTATTTATTTTTATTATATTATTATTATTATTATTATTATTATCATTAATAATTATTTATTTATATTATTATTATTACATTATTTCATCATCATCATTACTGTTATCATCATTAAATATCATTCATTGCTGTTATCATCAGTTACTATTATTATTATTATTTATTATTATTATATTATCATTATTATTATTACAGTTTTTATTTTCGTTATGATTGCTAATATCTTCATTCTCATTATCAATTGCTCATCAAGACTCCCGCTCAGATTCTTCGAAGACGTTTCAGAAACCACCGACTGACTCACCAGCGACCTGAGCAAGTCCATAATAAACTGTATCCTATCACGCGCGTGAACACACACACTCACTCACTTCACTCACTCACTCACACACACACACTCACACCACGCACACGCACTCACTCACACACGCACACGCACGCACACACACACACACACACACTCTCTCTCTCTCTCTCTCTCTCTCTCTCTCTCTCTCTCTCTCTCTCTCTCTCTCTCTCTCTCTCTCTCTCTCTCTCTCTCTCTCTCTCTCTCTCTCTCTCTCTCTCTCTCTCTCTCTCTCTCTCTCTCTGAAAAAAAAAAAAAAGTTTAGCCACTTTCCCCGCGTGGTTCAAAGGTGGCTTATTAAACCCAGATAAATAAAGGGAACAAGAATGACGATCATAAAACATTCCAAACCTACGTGCAGTTTAGACGCCATTTGTTCATTGGCTTCTGACCCAATGCATCCTCATAACTCGTTTGTTTATTATTTTGTCCCAAGGTCATTAGCGGCTCATGATAATGGTGATGGAGTTGTGACGTCACGAGCCTGGGAAATTTTAATTAGCATTGGATCGGGGAATAAAGGCAACAATAGGAGTCAACACTTGTTGTTTCTGACAGGTGGCATTCACTGTCACAATTAACTGTAATATTGTCAATTTCACACATGCACACATACTTTCATGCGGTGCATAAATAGAGATACATTTCAGATGAACATTTTATTTTTTTCTATTTTTTATTTTATTATTTTTTATCTTTTTTTTTTTTTTTTTTTTTTTTTTTTTTTTGCTGTCATCAAAAAGTATTGGGGTAGAAATATTGACATAGTTATATGTCATAAAATGTCATAAATAGTTCATTTATGACATTTTCATAAATTGCACTTGCTTGTACCCCTCGCACGTGTACATTATTTCCAGACCAATACTTGTACATCACATTAATGGTGGTCCATGGTTGCTGGTTAAAACAAAGAAATGTGCTAGACATCAAAGGCCATAGAGCACTATTGTACAGTATTGTGACGGAGGGAAGATGTGTTATTGATTAGGAGAAAAGTGTTAAATGTTAGGGGTTATCGACCTCTATAAATGGAGGAAGGTGGAGGGGATTCAGAGCGAAGGGCGATTAGATCAAATGGAGAGTATTAATGTGTCTGAGAAAGGAAGGGGACAATGTATAAGGAGCACTGCAAAAGATCCATTATAAAGCACTCCGCAGGTAATAAGGGTAGAGACAAGAAAGAAGAATCCGAGGACTGAGACAAGGGAAGAGGGGAAGGAGGTGCAGTGGCAGGAAGAACGTCAAGGGGGGATCACGTGTCCATCCATGTGGGAGCGGTAGTGAGAATGGGGAAAGAAGAGGGAAAGGGCACATGGGAAAGGGGAGGATGGGTGAAATGGGGGAGAGTGAGAGGAAGAAGGGAAAGGGGAAGTTTCCAAAGGGTGGAGAGGCGAGGCTATGTTTCACATATCTGACATATCCGAACGATCTGAACGGCTGCGAAAGGAAACTTGATCCGTTTTTGGAGACATTTTTGGAATAGGAAGGTATACGTGGCCATGGTTCCTCAGAGACGTTCAGGATTGACACAAAGCAAAATACATGTGCTTGACGACAAAGCTCATATAGCACCTAACGTCTTTAATGCTTGTTAAAGTAGTCAATACTCATGCATTAAAGATCCGCACTCGTTTTTATTGAAAACCTTTTACACTAGTGGTAGATACGGATTATGACCCAAGTTCATTAGCGACTTGGAGAGGATCTGAGATAAGAGTATCTCGAACATGGAGGACAGGGGCTGGAGAAATGTTGCCTGACAATCTATGGAATCGACGCCATACAGTTGAAATAGATGTAGATGTAATCGAGTGGACAAATTTTCGGCAGCAAATTGTTTTACTGTTCCGAACTGTACCACAAAGGCAGGCAGATGCTCTTTTAAAAGATAAAAGGGCTGATAGCTGACGAGGGATGTCTCGCTTGTAGCGGTAACTTCCAGGCTGCGCGTTCTAACAAGCGGTTTGGTGCAATTAGAGTTCCACTATGGAACACACTTGGAAGTATAAGGTCGGGAAGTTCGGGAAATGGCTTTGTAACTGTGAAACATCAAAGCATATCTGAAATGGACGGGGGATGGGGAGAAAAGAATATTAAAGGGTGAAGTAAAAGTATGCCAGTCAGCTCTATGAAAACACCATAGAAGTAGCAGAAAGGAATGGAAAGTGATCACCATGGGAACGTGGTCTAGAACTGACCAATGGAAAGAAAGGAGGCATAGTAAGAGGTCAAGGCATGAAAACGATTGCATACGCAAGTGTGGGTTGATCTGAACTTAGAATATTAAAGTTGTTGAGAGGAAGCGTTCTAGGGATCGGCCACGGGAGGTAGTGGTAGAATCACCCAAGAGTGTGGCAACAGTTAAAATCACTAACTGTGAGAAAAGGTGGTTGGAATGGGGAAAGTAGGGTTTCAAATTCTACAAAATCAATGGAATGGGAAGAGAAGTAGACTGAAATAACTGTGATCCAACAGCGAATATACGAATAACTGTGCAAAGGACAATACTTTGAAAGGGAAGTATATGGTCTTTTCTGATGATTAAGTATAGACGAAACAAAAAGGAATTGGTGTAGGAGGATCTGGAAGAAAAATCTCTTGGAGGCAGATAAGAGATGGGTTATAAAGGAGAAGGGATGTGACGAAGATCAGAACTGTGAGAACGGAAACCACGAATATTCCACTGAGTTATTACGAATTAATCAACGAGTGAAAATGGTAACAATGCGTGTCGAAGTTATAAGGGAAGGAGCTAGGGGATGAGTGGGAGGAGGTGAAGGATCCTGAGAAGGGCATTGCAGTGGTAAGAGATTCACGATTCACGGAGTGGAAGGGATAGTGGGGATGTCGGAGATGGGGGATGGGTATGTTGGAGGGAGAGGAGGGAAGGGTGTAGGGGGTATATGAGTAGGAGGAGGTAGATAGAGGTAGTCACTATGTGTAGAGGGAGTGGAAACAGCCCATGGCTCCCCCAAGCCGGTCATGACTGGTACAAAGTCATCCTTTCATCCTTTCAACACGGCTTTCACACCTTAGGAAGTGGATATTAGAAGGTTAAGGGAAAGAAAAGGGGGAAAATGACCGCGCAAAATGAGTTAAATCGGGGGTTGAGGCCCAAGGCAGGGGTGATCCCTAACTTCAGGCCTCACAACCCGTTTCCTATGCTCCCTCCTCCCCAATAACAATGGGATGGGAGAGGGGATCATGGATTTTACCATTAAAAACAAGCCATATACGAAGGAAAATCCATAGAAGAAATCAAACAACAAAACTGTGCTGGTATTTTAATATAAAAAGGTGAAAAGTTGTACACAATCAATTATAATAAGCATCACTTGTGTGCTCTTGTAGCTAATTCCATCACTGAGACAAGTAGCAAGTTGATTTGACAATATTCAAATGAAAATCTTTTTTTTTTTTTTACCAGACTTTCCAAATGACCTCAAAGAAAAAGAAAGGAAATACATTTTAAGAATAAACTTAGGCTTTTTATATATTTAGCATCATACATCAGCTCTCATTTCATTTGTAGAACTTCAAAATATTAATAATCAAATGTCTGTTTATCTAAAATCAGCTTATAACATGACAAGAGCTCCATGAGAATCAACATTCCTATACTTTAGACTTGCTTATCACAAAATTTGTTCGACTAAAAGAATTAAAATATTTCATCCATATATACGAAGCATTATGCATTGTCTCTCTTGTGAACGTATCATTAATGGAGAATTAAGTACATCGATATTCATGGGCTTCTCAAATATAGTGAAAACATCCAGTATCTACCTTTATCACCGATTTCCCAATCACTTTACAAAGACAGTAACATAATTTTTTTTAATTAATTCCTATATAGAGTTTACATCATGATGTGATACTAAACATGTAGACATCAAGATATATGGTTATCTACTTCAATCATAAATCCCAATGGGATAAGACTTATTATGCTGATATTTTTTCTTAGTTTTGTTTATATATTTAAATATGAAGAATTTTATATATAACCACACATAAATATATAAGGCTTGCAGTTGTTGCCTAAATAGCATATAGCAATAAAGTTCTAATATCACAATTATGAAAAAGACACAGATCACTTATTCTCATCATAAATACTGATGAGTCTTGCACCTATTACAATAATCAATAAAAAAATATCCAAATACATATCATAAATCAGCCTTCAGTCAAGAAACATATAAAACACCATTTAACAGTAAACCAACAAGAGTATGCTCAGTCACAAGTAACAACAATGATGAAATGAAAATTTCTTTATCACAATATCCATCTTAATACACTCTATAAATGTCTTACAATGTTACAGATATCAACCTAAGTGTACCCATGGTTATCAACCTTACTCTATAACACTTTATGATGACACACACACACAGAAACTGCTATAAAAGGTGATATGACTGCACATTCCAGCATAAACACAAAGGTAATAAAAAATAATGAGTATGTCTTTTCAGTCCATAAAACAAGTTTTGAACAATCTAAAGAAAGGAAATATACAAACTGAATAAAACAATTCTATAGTTTCACCGAGAGATGCAGGTATTGTACTTAGTACATCATCCTTCAATGAAGAGTAAAGCTAACTAAAAAAAAGCATGTAGTACAAACTACACAAACTTTGGTTTACAGAAATGTAATGAGGAGGGACAAAACTAGCTCTCTAAGCCTAAAAATTAGCCCCTTGCCCCTAACTAGTCCTCCAGTAACTAAGCCTTCAACTTGCAATGTACGGCTGCACCATTAACTTGTAGGTGGTCCCTGTCAGTTTAAAAGACAATAATATTTCTAAAAAAAAAAAAAAAAAAAAAAAAATCATAATATGGGGCTACATATGCCCTGAAGTGGTGAGGATACAATGTTTTATGATATGGATTGTACACTAGATATACAGTCCTTTAAATGAACGTTGTATTTTGGTTTTACAAACAACATTCTGGACACTGGCATCTAGAATGTCTATTCTTTCTCTTCTACAGAATTTAAACAATTAATAAACATCATACATTTAGAAAGTATCATATTATATTCCATTATGTATTTCCTATATCCTATGATCACATGGATACACTATTTTAAAGCCATAGCTATAGTCAGAGGGATATCTATTTCTAAAGCACAGTTTACAAAAAGGCTTCCGCTAATGCTGCATCTCTACTTTTACCCTTATCCGTGGCTGATTATCTTTGCCATATTTAACCCATCCGTGCCAGATACACGTATTATCCACTGCAGTTTTGTTTTGATTTTTTTTTTTTTTTTTTTACACAGATGGTTCCACAAGTGCTCAGTCACCAAGGAGTCAATTAGCAGGCCTATCATGACCTCAACTGATTTCCCAATTTTGTGAATATTCAGGAAGACATCATAACATTATTAACAATACTATTAGCAAAAATCAAAAGGAATCTTTCCAAAAATCAAGGAAAAATGTATACATATGAGATAGGTATGATTAGTAATTGACTCCTTGGTGACTAAGCACTTGTGGAGCCATTTATGTGTAAACCACATTAACAAAACCAAACCAATACTAATATCACAGTGGACACGCCATGTATGTCATCCCAGTATAATGGGTTAAGCAGTAGGTGGAATTTAACTCACTAAATTTTAACAATAATTACCTCTTAAATCAGTAGAACAAAAACAATCGTATACTGCAAAATCAATTAAAAAACATATTTGGGGAATTCCATATACAAAATTCATATATCTATTATTACCATAGACATCATTATACCAACTGAGAAGTGCACATCTCTGAAGTGTACGCTGTTTAAGTAGTTGCTGTTGAAGACCATAATTACTAGTTACTTGAAAGCCAACATTACATGCTCACACTTTGTAATTACACAGCCTGGAATCAACAAAATAAGTACTTTCAAAATATTCTCCTTAAAGCTACTCACACAAACAAAATCTACGTAATCAAGAAGGTCCCACTGAAGGGCTATGAAACATCCCTGGACCAACTTTTGGAGCAAACTATCAGAACACAGCACCTACCCAAGTACAGTGCTACAAAGGAAATCTACACAGACATTCTACACAACTCCTAGCAACTAAAACATAATAATAAGTAGGCCAGCCTGACCTGGGCATTGTACATAGAGAGTCACACAATGTGCGGGCATGTTGTACCATACATCAATACTACAGTGCAGTGAGGTGATCCGTTAGCAATAAATGTCTAATAAAAAGTTACGAGAGGTATTCCAGCTAATGTGCAACAGTACTATCTACAGAAAATGAGCAATATTGTTAGGTTTCCATCATACTTCACTAATTATTCCTTTCTTTCATATCACATAAACTAATGTCATTTTGGGTTTTATTCAGTTTGTCTGACTTGATCACCAACCTTGAAAATATTGTCTAATTCAATATGCATCATGATATGAAAAGTTTGAACATGTATTAGGTGTGTCTTGGTATATATTTTTATATCTTATATCTTCTTATGATAAATACATTAAATATCTTTTCACATCACTGTTAAAGCAGGAAAAACAAATATAAAAGCTTCTTAAAAAATACTCTCAACTTTCAAGATACCAAGACATTCTCATGATTCTCAACCGGGTTAATTAAGCTCGTCATGCAGATTCACATCTATCTTTGTCAGGGTTAGTCCTCATACTAAGTATCACAAAACACAAAAGCATATCACAGGTACTGAGATCTGCACCGCTGTCACAAACACAATGGTCAACTTATATTCATGGATTCAGTTTTCTCATGATGTCATATACTTCCTATTATTATATCTTTATTCAAATATATCTATTTCTCATTAGCAGAAATAACTTAGCTTCACTTATAGCATAGCTTAATGAACATTCCTTGTTAAATATGAAAAGCGTATTTCACACGGTTAGCTTCATGCTTTGCCACATATGACCATAAGAACTGCTTAGTCAATATATATATTTCTGAACTTTGCTAATAAAAAAGATTCTCTCATACACAGGGGAAAATAAAAATCTTAATGACCAAACCTAAGACACCTCATTACCCCCTATCAATTCCCACAATTTTTTTTTATTTACTCATCATAGTTGTTTGTGAAAGGCCTTTTACAATTCTTTAAACCACCCCAAAATAGAACCACTTCAAATCTTTTAACCCAAGTATGCCATAGTCGTATGGTATTTGTGGCACTTTAAAAGAGATTTTACGGTCTTCTAAAAATAAACATATAGAGCACATAACAGAACAAAATTCTAATAATTCAAGTATTGTCTTCTTATATATATAAAACCTTGACCAAAAAGGTCACCTAACACCTGTATACTCACAACCAATCACTCTTCTTATATATCATATTGAATATGCTTGTATATCACTGAGATCCTTCCATACATACAGAAAAATGTTTATTCTGCATAATCACAACATTTCAGCTTCCTGATGCGAGTATTTGCGGAGCTGGGCCTGTAACTTTTGCAAAACTGTCTTTACATTCCTCTTGCAGTAAGCTTCGGCATCTAAAAATAATAATAAGATATAACCAAATTTGTAGCAATCAACAGCACCTAATGATATAATAATTTTAAGAAGAAATATTAATGGCTATTAATCATAAATCATAAAATCAATTACATGGTTTATAATAACACAGACAAGAAGGAAAGCAAAATTAATCTTACCTTTTATCAGAAAACCTGAATCCTTTATGGTTTTGCATTCTGTTTTCCATATCCAATAAATATGGAACATAACAGCTGTGAAATACTCGTTCAGGACATGTCTTACATTGCCACGGCTATTACACTCCCTGAGAAATAAGAACAATAAACAAATGTATAAATGACATTAATATCAGTGACAGAAACATATTTGTTACTAAATTATTCAATTATTTTATCTTCTTCATTTCCTCTCTTATGCAGTCTTTCCATCTACTCTTTGCTCTCCCTTCTCATACCATCTTTACCATCTTTTTTCTTCCTTTTAAACATTAACTTCTTCATTCTTTCATTACACATGTTTCTAAACTTAATGCAAAACTGTTAATTTGATTATTATCCAATCAATGATAACAAACAAATATAAAGTGCCAGCCATTTTGTGAAACTTTCTTCTTATCCTACTTCCATTAATACAACATAAATACAGTAATCATTATACACAACACAAAACTTTCCAAAATACATTCATAAATTACAGAACACAAGCTATACTCACTTGTTGAGATGACCTTCCCGGAGGGTTTGCAATGATATGCGAGTTACGTTGATGGAAAGCACCATGAATGGAAACTGGGAGTGCTGGTCATGACTTAGACGAAATATGTCCCTCGCCAGTGGCAGTACTGCTTCATAGGTTAATAAATGAAGAGCATGAACCAAGCCTAGTAAGCCAACGCCTCGGAGATCTGTTGCTGGATCCACACCCTGTAAACAAAGTTGCAACAAAGAAATGTACACATTCATTTCATCTGATCAAGTTATTGTATTCCTTTCCCTCTTCTGTCATCTTTTCCTTATCTGTTGCTAAGAAATTACAAACTGGACTGACTCTTCCTTTTCCCATTCTTCACTGTACACTGGAATATTCACTCTTCATCTCGAGTGCAACATGAACATTATGCTATCCTTTATTTTCCCTTCACAACTTTTCTTCCTTATTGAAAGAAAAAATCCCTTGAAGTAAAAATGCAAAAAAACAAGGTCATTTTTTCATTCCCCTTACAAATGATGTCTCACCTGAAAACCAATGACATCCCAGTGACTGCCAAAGCGTGGGCAGTCTATCTTGGTGCCTGTTAGAACCTTGTACACTGTCTGCAAAATCTGAAGGTGAATTGGCTCACTGTTGTCAAATTGACCTGTAATGTGATGGAAAAGGAATTACTACAAGAGAAGATAACAAGATAACAATTTCAAATAAAATATATCCCAGTCCTCCTTCTTCATTGCATATAATTTATTTTGGCTGTCACTCAGTACCAACAGGGATGGCATATACATACAATGCATGTCCACTGTAATTTTAGTCTAGTACTTGGTCACCATGGAGTTGATTGCTTGTCCTACCTATCTCATTTGTTTATTTTTTTCTTGAATTTCAGAGATTCATTTCTATCTTTTATAATAATATTCATCAATCTTTTATTGCTGTTAGCAGTGCAAATAAAATTTTAACTAGAAGCACTCAGAGAGCGTATACCTCCATCAAGGCAATAAGGTCACTGATACAATAAAAATGTTCACACTCATAAGAATTACATCAAATCACCTTTCTCAAGTAAACAGGTGATATCCATAAACATAACCTATTTGGCAGAGGCAAGGTAATAGGGGTAATGATGCAATCATTCAAATATTCCTGGATCTGGATCACAATCTGGATCACCACTAAAATTTAATGGAACCTAAGTTAGGCTAAGACACACCTCTGGCAAATTTTTCCTTATAATGTTCATAACTTTTTGAGTTATCCTGCTAACAATCAAAACAAATAATATCCAGATCACTATCATAACTTAATAGCATCTAAGTTAGGCTAAGACACACCTCTAGTAAAATCTGATTTTTTTTTTTTTTTTTTTTTTATTCTCCTGCTAACCAAGGAACAAACAAACATGCCCAAAACATATCCTCCTTTGTAGAGGGAATAATCATAATGTTAACAGTAATAACAACAACAGCAGCAGCAGAAAAAATATTTTTATGTAAATTCATAGAAAGATGAAATCAGATGAAGTCATGTGTGCCTGCTAATTGATTCCTTGCTGGTTGGGCATCTGTGGAGCAACAGGTGTGAAGACAACTCACAAACCAAAAGTACAGTGGACATTACACGTTCCTGGCAACAGTGGGTTAACCTTTGTGTCAATTATTATTTATTATTACACAATGAGATTAATTATAACCAAGATAGAAATAAAATAATATATAATAATAAAACAGATATAGCTAGTTTTGACTTATTTATTTATTCTAATTATGTACCTCTCTTTTTATCTATTATAGAGTCCATGAATCTTTACATGGAATCGTTCAAATATATCTAATCTAATAATACTTCTTTAACCTAAACACATTGAAAATAACACACAATTTAATTAACCCCATAAAAACCTGTTCCCTGAATGTGCACAGTTCTATTCACAAGGATAAAAAATTGGTAAGATTTTTTCATACAACTCTTTCATTATGAAGGGGAAGTATGTAGTGTCCTATAATATCTCTTGTAGGGTTTGGCAAGTTTTATTACTAATACATCTAGATAAATATAAATACAACCAAATACACATTCTATTCTTTTATATGGTAACTTTATCAACTTTCCACTTTCCTGACACTCACTGTATTTGAGATATACATTATCTGGTGAACGATGGAATAATGCCATAACACATTGATATCAGGAATATATAACCTCTCCAATAAGGATTTGAACCATCTTTCATTGAATATACCTCAGAATTTGGGATTTGGGATTTGAAGTGCTCTTGCTATATATACCGAGTGCCCACTGGGTATGTATGTAAAACTTTGCAATCCTTACTCATGTATATGAGTAGATAGGTAATGTCTATGGATGCTAGATAGCTCCTAGTTGCACACTCCTTTTAGTGGGTTGTATATCAGTGGTTAGAGTGACCGTCTTGCAAGTTCTTTGCAATGGCGGTGAGGGTTCAAATCCCTATTAGAGAGGTTATATATTGACATTATCTGGTGCATAAAATTTAGCTCTTCAAACGGCAAATATCAAAACTTGCCAGAAGGTCCTATCACTAGCAATTTTCCTGTCAATTTTCCTGTTTCCCTGAGAACTTTCTGTACAGCCTAGCCCATTCAGACTGGCAAAGAATCATGTAAATAAAAAAGTTTGGTGTCAGGAATTACATGAGCATCCTCATACATATTACATTACCTTAAAGATATATCAGAAAAAATGCCATGATAATAAGTCATGTTTTCATGAACTTCTTTTATTCTATCTGTTAGTAAGAGCAATCTAGTAGCTAGAAGGAAATCAAGAAAACAAAAAGTCATATCCATTGCCATCTACAAGGTTCTTTGCATGCATGCAATGCATACGAAAAGGCAAAATTGAAAATAATAGAGTACTAGCATGATAGGAACTTTAGTGAAATTTGAAAACCAATGCCTATTTAGCAGCTAGGGAACAAGTGAATGAGAGGGTTAACAAGTCATGAGGGAAAAAAGGTACCAGTAAAAAGAAAAGAACCACTATACAGATTATGAAAGATACTTACACTGAGCAATTGCAAAAAGAAGGTTTCTCTCATCTACCAATTCTGCCTTTAGTTTCTTGGGCCCAAAAATTGTCCTGAAGAGACCATTCACTCCCCTTCTTTCAAGAGTGGGTTTTATGGATCCCTGTTGAGAAAAATAAGTACAGCATTCAATTATAAGTGGGATTTAATATGGTATAAATACATACATAATTTCTGCTTCTTTTAAATACAGGTTCATACTTGGTGCATACTCCAGAAAGGAGAAGAGAGAAAGAAGAGAAGAGAGAGGAGTGCAGAATAGAGAAAGGAAAGAGAGAGAAAGGAAGAGAGGAGAAGAAGAGAGAGGAAGGAGAGAGAGAGAGAGAGGAAGAAGGAGAGAAGGAGAGAGAGAGAGAGAGGAGAGGAGAGGAGAGGAAGAGATAGAAGGAGAGAGAGAAGAGAGAAGAGAGAAAGAGAGAAGGAAGCACACAAAGAAAGAAAACGAAAGACTGAGAAAGAAACAAAGAGTTAAGACGAGACATAGAAATAACAAAACCTACAAAAAAACAACCAAAAAAATAAATCTTTCTCCCAACTCACCATCACATGACTCATATCCTGTCGAGTAAAGAAATCCCACACTTCATCAAAGTCGGTGTGGGGCGTGATCCGAACATTGGGGGCCAGCGCCTGTGGGGACATTGATGGGGACTTCGCTGGGGAGGACGAAGACCCATTGATGAACTTCTTGGGGCTCTTGTGCAGGTCCTCCTTGTATGGGGAACGCAGGATTGGCTCGACACACTGCACAGCCTCCCATTCTTCTTGAGCAGCCGCATAGTCTTCCACCTGACTGCAATGAGCATAAGCAGAATTGTTATACTTTTTTTTAAGTGATTGAAATGATATGAGGTAAATACCTTTAACTGCCTAGCCATTTTTAACTTTTCCAAGAGGGGGTTCATAATTTGACAGGCTTTTTTTCATAAAATCAAATAAGATT